AATAAATAAATAAATAAATTAGTCATCTTATACAAACAAAATTAATTTACCTGTATAATTTTAGATTTTTCTATCATCGTAATGCTATATATAATAATATGATATTTGGTCTTGAGGCTATGTTCTTTTCATCATTCAAAAATATCGTAAAATAAAAATAATATTTATTATAGTCTTCAAGGCTATAGAGGAAATTTTTATTTTTTAGATATTAAGGATATAAAGAATGTAATAATGTACACACCACCTTTCATTAATTTTACATCAAAATTTTATTTTTTAATTTTTTTTTAAAAAAACCGGATACCGAATAATAAGAAACCGGATACCGAATAATGGGTGCCCAGGCTGCTTATCTGAATAGGAATTCAGAATGGGACATAATTTAGGTGGCTTGTTGGGACGAGGCTTAAGAGCTTAGTTTCTTTGAATAGAAGAAAAATAAATTTACACTTTTAGAATGGTAAATATTTAGAAAATGCCTGATTTACATCCTTCCGTGAAGATTCCTGGTTTAAGAACCTAGTTCCTTTACTATTTAAATAGTTCAGCGCGCCATTCTAAGCCCGCGAAATTTAAAAAAAAAAATTTTAAATCTGATATTTAGGCGAATTCTATTTCATTTCTCTTCATTAAAAAAATATAGGGAACCGTATCGGAAATTCTTTTCAGACATTTCCTCTGGCCGATTTGTCAGACCTCTAGTTATGAGGTTTAAGTTTTGGAAGATGAATTTCGAAATTTCGGTGGTAATTTCTCGGGATGCAGAAAGTGTTAAGCCAAATACTCAACGATATTTATTTCATGGGAGAAGCGATCAATATCTAAGCATTCCCAAATTACCTTTCCCTGCCAATTCTGCAGATTGTGTCAATTCCTTATTCAAGATTCCCTTTTATTGAGACCGTAATAAAAAAAGGTAAAGAAGAGAAGAGAAGAATATTAATGGATTAACTTGGGCTATAAAGGATACAACTCCATTTTCTCTCAACGATCACAACTTAGAGAATACGCAAAAAAAAAAATCTTTTCTGGGCATAGATTCGGCATTCTTTGATAGGCGGATTTGGGAAAGCGAAATGGCGCAAGCAATAAATCCATCTAACTTTAGCCAACTTCCGGCACGTCCCTTAGCCAATCCTTTTCAATTTTCGCTTCGATTATTTTTTCAATCTCATTCGAAATTAGAATTTGCCTTATTATTTTAACCCCATTCAAAAAAAAAATATGCCATAATTTTTTCCTAATATTTTTTTTTAATGATATTTTTTATTTTTTTTGTTTTTTTTACAAAGGAAAACTAATTAATAAAATTCAATAATATTATGTATTTTTTTAATTTAAATTATCAATCATGATGAGGCACAGCGCACAGGCAAAGCAAAGAAGCTTTCATATAAGATTAGTATCATTTTTTTTTATATATTATAGAAAAATATAATTAAATGTTTAAAATTGTCCAAAATGATATCAAAAAAACCGGTTCGGATATTTTGGCCCGGACCGGGTTTATTTTAAAATTTGGTTCGGGCCGGGTTTGGGTATTGTCCCTGGGTCTCTAATTAACGTTCAATTTATAACCACTATTTATTAATTTTTTAATATAGAGTGTCGTCATCATTTATTGACATCGAAAGGTGTATTATTTAAACTATATAATATTTGCATTTATATTCAAACAAATTTATAATACCAAATTTAATTAATTTATCTTATTATTATTTTAATATGCGAATTAAGACGGTTATAACCGATTTAATGCAGTTAATTATGAAATTATTATCACTACGCTATGAATTCTGATTTGTATTAAATGGCAACATTGCACCAAAAACAAAAACAAAAAAAGCCGACGGCCATCAAACTTTACCACTAGTGATTACCCTTGGATACCCCCGGTGGGAAAAAATGGCGTAATTGTTCTAGAGTGGGGTATAATGGACGCCAATTTCAAATCATTTTCAAACTTAAAACAGTTAAAATATGTTTTAATCATCATGTATACATACTAATAAAACCGATATACCCAAAATTGAGCCGTTTTAAAAAAATTACTAAGAAGTATTACCATAGAAAATAGATTAGATGGGTGTTAGCTCTGAAGAAGGAAGGAAGGAAAGAAGGAAAGAAAGAAAGAAAGAAAAAAAGAAAAAAAATAAATAATTTTCATCATTTTTCATCATTTTGCATTTTGGAAAATATTAAGTACAAAAATAATTATTGGATTTTAAAAACCAAAGCATTTCGCAATTATAATATATTCATCTAAAATGAATTATATTAACTAACGGTTTTTTTAGAAAACATAGGAATTTACTTCTGCAGGTTTTCAAAGACCCCAATCAGTCCTGAAAATGCTTATATCATCTCTAGATCTACTCAACTAAATAAATAAAATTTGGAATATATATAATATTCCAAGAAATAAGTTATAGAAATCTACTGAAGATTCTAGATCACAATTCAATTCTAGCACGCCTGAGGTCCCTAAAGGGCCAACCGGAGAAATGAAGGGTTAAAAGAAATAAAGGTTAAATATTCTTCCTAGTTACCTTAGTATTCTAATTGCTGTAGCATCCATCCTGTCTCCAAGAGACGTCAATTATATAAATGGGGGAAGAACCTACTCACTCTAAAATTCTTTAGACTATACAGGTTTATGAACATGGTAAACACCTCCACATTTCATAAAATTAATGACGACCTAAGTGGGACCGGGGCAAGATAAACTCGTAATCGGCGGAACGTCAAACTCAGTTTTACCCGGGTTCTCTTAATCGTATTACCATTAAAATTAAAATAATTTGTTTTATATTACATAATCAGGGTTTATTATCATTATTATATTTATATTTTTTTAGAGGTCGATCACAACATCCCCATCACATTTTTAAAATTTTCATATTACTCCCCAAGTAATGTAATTTGATATTGAATTTATTTGTAAATGATGATGACAAATTTTTTGTACACTTTATATATAATCATAAACATGTGAAATTTAAAGTTTTTTTTATTATTATTATTATTATTTTTAATTAAACATTTGAGTTTTAACCTTAATTTTTAATTTTTAATATATATATATATTTATTTTTTTTTAAAGACAAATTAACGCTCGAAGGGTTGGGTTTGTTTTTTTATACGCGTTAGCGTCAACGTTTTTTTGAGTAGGATTTTTTACAGGAAATATATTTCTACCATGTTCGGAGTACCTATCTTATGAATCGTGGAGACAATTTTGCTCGATAACCTTTCAAGTCATTTAAAGTCACAAAATAAAAACCTCCTTCAAAAAATCTACCATCTTATCCCCCCCTCTAAAGTTTCACCTCCTACCACTTCTCTCACCAAATCAAAATTAGTTTTTTTTAAAAAAAAAACGGAAATTCAAATCAAGTCCCCCCTCCCGCCTCCGCTCCGCTACGATTTTATCCGAATCACGTGAAGGTTATCAGAGCCACCCTACCCGACTCTAAGAATGATCGTCTTGCTTTATAACCCCTTCCCCCGCGGAATAAATCCCTTATCTGAACCTAATGTTGCTAAACTACCTATCTTTAGTAAACTATCTGTTAAGCCAACTTATCCATATTTTTATCCACAGATATTCCTAATCAATCTTCAAGATGAGGCTCAACTTAGAAGCTCATTTCAATTTTTATAGTCTAAAAGCTTGACCAAGACGCAGTAGAGATGGTCAAAGATAGGAAATTTAACAAGACTATTTAAAACCTGACGGGAAATTTCAGTGATTACGATAAATTCGTTCTCTCGTTGATTTACACTTACGTCCAAATATTACAAACTTTTATCATTTACGAGTTTCTAAGTAAAGTGGGATGGAGAAGGAGTTTAGAAAATGAAGGAGATCGACTGTACCTTTTCCTATTCGCCTTCATTCAAATTCAAATAATATTTCGAAGATAATTAGCATGATTACGCTGCGGTGGCGTTTTGATCCACGGTCAACTTTCAACCCTTTCAACCACAAATACCTTACATTTCATAATCTTTCGGCACCGGGTTTGATTGATATATTTTGTCAATTAAAAAAAAACTTTCTTCTTTAATTTTTCTACACGTAAACGATATAAAATAATCTTCAGTTTAAGGTCAGTTACAAAAACAAAAGTTATTGAGAGGGGGGGGGGGCTATTGGATATCTTTAGGTCCACCTTATTGTGTAGATCTCAACCCTAACCCGAACCTTTACAAAAATATAATTTATTTGTTTGTACTGAAAGGGGGGGATTTCTCTTTGCCCACCTTTGCGTCTGAAGTTTCTAGGATAACTAGAAGTCAAGCTATAACGATTTGTATAATATAATAGCATCTTGACGTAAGGTTATGAGTTAAAACGGTTAGTTTGATTCCCAAAAAAACAAGAAATTTGAAATATTAACGCCTACTCGATAATGTGAAAAAGAGGAAATTTTTGGGGGCAAAAAAAAAGGGGAAACATATAGTTCATAAATAGTGGGAAATGGGTGAAAAAATAATTGAGATCTATGAATCTGCAAGGAAGTGGGAATCAGAGTTATGTTCCATTCCAGTTCCTGCGATTCTGGCCTTCGCCAAAAAGCTTTAAATAAAAATGTTGGTGTAAAATAGCCAAATTCATGCTTCCCCATATAAAAGGATTGTTAAAGAAAGCCCATGTTAGCTCATTGACATTTAATGCTTACTAACATGGATTATTCATTTTATTGAAAGTAAATATGCATCGAAGTCACCCAGGGAATGTGTCAGTTAGCACAGTTTATTCGGAGACCAAATTTTGTTTAGGGGTGGGTGGGGGGGGGGGGTTCATTTAGAAAACATTTTAAAGCCATGGGTGGGACCCGTCAACTGTCAGCTGTAGTCAACGGCAATGATATTTCTAGAGAAATTATAAATGCCTATGAATTGATGTGCGTACACTTTTTAACGTATTTTGGTCTAAGCCTGGCATAAATGTCATCGAATTAAGTAAACATATGTTTGATAGAAATACTTACATTTTTCCTGTTTCGAGGATGTGGCGAGACCCGAAAAGGCTAGAATCACTGTGAACAGGATAAGAATATTCATGGATTTCCAATATTTGGTGGATGATCGGAATACTTTCAATCTATAATCTATCAATTTTTCCCAATACATAATTTTATTTTTTTTTAATGATTAGTTTTGATTTTGATTTTTGATCTGAAAAAACAAAAATGGAACACCAGAATATTTTATATTTTTTTTTTGCTGGCACTGGCAAACCCTTGCACAAATATTTGATTAAACTTATTACGAAAAAAAAATTTATATTACTTAATAATAAGATACAATAATAAAATAATAATAATTTTTTAATGTTTTGCAAATATTTTTTTTTTAATTATTATTTTTTATATTTTATTTTTTTAAAAAAAAAATACAAAATTTAAAATATTTATTTATATATATATTTTTTTTTAAAAAAAAAATAAATTTAATAAATAGTTAACAAAAAAAATAAATAAAAATAATAATTATTATTAATTTATTGATTGATTTTTTTAAAATCTATAGTTAATTTTTATTTTTTAAATGAGTTATCGATGAATCATACTTTTATTGTTTGATCTAAGCTTTTCTTCTTTCTGTCTTTTTTTTGGAAAGAAGGAGGGGGGGGGGGAGGGTTGTGGAGGAGGAATGGAAAAGTTTTAATTCAGGAAACAGGTGATCCGAAAAAAAATGAAAGAAAGAGCGCTTCTCTTCGTTATAATACTTAATTCCATTCACACACAAAAAAAAGAAGTCTGACTGACACGCGAACCTGATTTAGTTCAAAAAATATGGTTTAGGTTGGCCCAGGGCAAAATAATATAATTATGTTATGATGAGGTTATTTCTAAACTCCTTTTTTTTGTATATAAAGATAGATAATTTAGTATTTATGTTTAACTCGTAATTATTTATAAAAAAAAAAATTCAGGACCAGCCCGGATATTACGGCCCGGATATTACGGCCCGGTTTGAGCTGATTTTTAAAATACGGCTAACTCAATATTTTGTACAGGAAAAAAATATATTATGCCACCCTGAAGATTTTGCTCATAATATGGCACAAAGGATTGTGCTTCTATCGGAGAAAAGTCGACTCTTAGGGCAACATTTTCCGGGCTATAATGCTGAGTTATCCGTTTTTTAAAAACCGGCTCGAATCGAGCCGTTCAACAACACAACGGCCCGGCCGGCCGGCATTTTAAAACCGAATATTTGAAATCGCCATTATTAGCTATAAAAAAATCCGAAATAAATATAATATATTTTGTTAAAAAATCCAGGTCGAGTCGGTAAAAATTTTCCGGGCCTAGTCGTGCAAATGGAACCTCTGTAGATTGATTATTTTTCTTTTAAATCTATAGATATATCAGTTCAAGATGGTTAGAGGAAATTTTTCTCTTGTAAAGGCAATGTTATTAAATCCTTTGCTTAGCCAATGACAAATTGATTAAAAAGGATACCCAAATGATCCAGGTTTACAAAATATCCTGGCCCCTTGCTTCTGCAAGCAATTGATCTATGGAAGGTCTCTCTCATCAGTCTCGCAAGATAGGCGAAATGATATGAACGCACTAACAGAAAATAGGTGACTGGTGACTTTATGCTAATGCCGCCGTATATGGTTGGTAAGGAACATATTTTAAACGAATAAATTTATTTAGAATTTTTTTTTTGAAATTACGATTTTATAGAAAAAAAATTTTTTTTTTACTAAACGCTCCCTTTGAATGAGAATTCGCATCGAAAGAAAACGATTAAAATAGATGTTATTGATATTTTTTTTTAAAATTATGTCTTCTAAAAAGTGCTCTCGTAATAAGAGTTCCTGTTGGAAAACAAAGGCAAACCCTATATACCAATAAAAATTGTATCTGTAAATATAAATGTATTGTATCTATATGATTTTTGGACGATATTTATGTATCCAGGATCGATTCTAAGATGATGTATCTGTTTCAATATCCATTTTAAAAAAAGTATCTTTTAACAACTTATGAAAATTAATTTTAATAATTTGCCTTTTTATTTCATTTTAAGATATATAATAAGTTATTCTTTTTTTTTTTCATTAATATTACATTTTTATACGATATTGACAAAAATTAAGAAAATAAAAAAAAAAGTATTGAAAAAAGTGCAAACCCTTTTGCGTTTTTCGAAATGGTCGCTAACGCCAAACGCTAATTTTACCAAATACGCTCGATGCCATTTGAAATGTATTATTTGTAGTGTTGTTAACCGGTTCGATTTAAGCCGGTTTTTAAAAACGGCTAATTCGATATCCGAAAAAAAATTGTTCCAAGCCTCCAAATTTCGTTAATAGATGTTCAAATCTTTGTGCCACCCTATGAGCAAAATCTTAATGTTTGGCATCATTATTTTCCTTATAAAATATTGAGTTAGCCGTTTAACAATAATTATTTGCGTTAAAAACGCAGCGTTTTAAACGCTTCAATTTGTGCTAATGATTTTATTTTATCGAATAAAGATCTTCCTTTTTTTTCCATATTCCAATACCAGGCATTGCACAATTATTTTGTTTTTTTTAAAAAAAATAAAATTATTTAAATAACCCAAATCTAATTATATTTTATCGAAGAAAAAAAAATAATATTTTTTAATAAATTCTTAATTTTTTTTAAAATAATATAAAAAAATCAATAAATATTATATATCCACTAAACAATAAAATTATTGGCACTTAAATTTAAAAAAAATATATTCCTATAGTTAATGTGATATTTTTTTTTCTTTCTTTCTTTCTTCTTATCCTTTTTAAAGTTATTGCGATTAATATTTTTTCTTTCTTCTTTTCAATCATTATTTTTTCTTCTTTTCCTTTTTAAAGTTACCGCGAAAATATTTTCCTTTAATTAATATTATTTTTTCTTTCTTTCTTCTTTCCATTCATTTATTTTTTCCTTCTTTTCCTTTTTTGGGAATTTATTTTTTTGTCTATGTTTGTAACTGAGGGGAGTTGATGAAGCCAATGACATTACAATATCTGAATGACGATGCATTTATTAAAAGTGTACATCATTGAAAAACAGCTGTGGACTCCATTTTGGTTATCCATAATATTCTCTTAGATACTATTTACCCTATCCCTTCTCCATTTTGGTTAAAAATTGGAGAGATCAAATTTAAAACGTTCTAATGAATGTATACAAATATTAAACAAAAATTAGAATATTATTGATAATACGAATAGATAATTTTGACCCTACCCCTCCTTCGTCCCTCTTTACCAGGCAGGCAGAAATGTAATATAATTTTATTAAACTAATACTCATAAAAAACGAAAAAAACACATACAAAACAAAAAATATTGTTTTTATTTAAAGTAATTATTAAAAACGGGGGAAATAACAAAAAAAAAATTTAACGAAATTTTGTAACACTTCAAATTAGCGATTTAAATTTTGAAAATTTATTTGAAATATTTTATTTATTTTTTTGATAATTTATTTTTGTCTCTTGGAATTCACTATAATCTTCTTTTTTTTTAAAATCTCATCTGATCTCTTGTTATTTTTCTTCAAAAAAAAAACCTAAAAAATAATCTTAAATTTTTCCATTTTATTAACACTCAATTTTTCAAATTTCTTCCAAAAATCTGAAAACATTTGTTAATGCCATTCACTTCATAGCGCGCTTTTGTTTCATCATTTCATATTTCAAAAATATATAGATGAATAAAATAAATATAAAAATATTAAATTTTAGTCCAAAAATCTACAAAAACAAAAATACAAAAGTTAGTTGAAAGTAAACAGGGGGTGTGGGGGCTCCAGAATATAGAAAAAGCTGTTATAATCACGTGATTTTTTTGATTCCTATTGTACAGTATTTATGTTTAAACAACACCAAATCGCGGATTTGATATTTATCTCTTCTCTTCTCTTAATTTATTTAATATATTTTATATAAAAAGGATTATGAAGATATGTTGGTTAGAAGGGCCCAGGGTAATTATAATCTTTTAGCGGACCGGGATATTACGCGCCGGGGTCGATTGGATCTCTAATAGATATTCCATTCTTCTGATCACCTTTTTTATTTCTCCCACCAATTACGGGAATTCCCAAGGTACAACAAACAAATTCTATTTATTTGAATTAAAATAAGTATAAAAAAAAATTTCTATTTTTATAATTATTCGTTATAAATAATCATTGAAAATATTATATTTTTTTTAAAAAAATAAACTTGATATAATATTTTATATGAACATGATATTTCCTATTCTCATTTAAAATTTATATTTATTTATTTTTTTTTAAAAAAAAATTATTATTTTACATAACAATTAATTTAATTTTTTTTTTATGTATACAGGTGAATAGTAATATTTTTTTCTAGCTATTTTGCAGGAGTTTTATCAGTTCATCTTTTTTCAATTTGGAATACCCTTTGACGTCGTGTCTCTTCAACCAATCCTTCAAGTCTTTCGTACTAAATTGACTTATCTATTATTAAAATATATTTAAAAGGTCAGTAGTATAATAGTTATAAAGTAAAATATCTGTTGTGTGTATCTAGTATGGGGTCAAAAGGAACTTTTACAAACACTAAAAAAAACTATAGGGATGTAAAAAAACGGAAAAAAAAAACAAAAATTATAATACTTTATACTAATAAAAAGGACAAATAAAAATAAGATAATTTAACAAAATTGTGCCATTATAAAATGATTATGTTGATAATTTGCAACTAAATATTGGTAGGTTATATTTTCCATAAAGGAGTTGTTACTTTGCCCCCCCCCCCATTTCCTTTCAAAGGATTCGTTTTCATCACTAATCAAAAATTTATAAAAATTGTGATTAGTTTTCAAAGGTACGGAGATGTTTATTAAATTTGCATTACAGGGTGTAGGTATCCACGCTGGAATTTGTCTATAACGAACACCTGTCAGTCAGCCCGAAAGCCCGCTCGGTTATTTAAAAAAATTTTTTTAAAAAAAAAAATGTTACTTTAAATTTATTTGTTTCAATAAAGTTCTCCTTCCGGTTCCTAAAATAAATCGAAAAGTGAGTTGTGGGTTCCGGTTAGAATTTCCGGGCCGGGTTTGAAAATAATTTACCCGGACCGGGTTTACGATTTGACCTTCGCAGATCTCCGCGACCAATTAATAATATTATAAATACGTGTTTTTGTTATTTTACCAATCGATAATCCTTCAGTTCGACCAGCTTGTCCAACGATAAATTCAAATTTTTCGAATCTTTTCCCCTGTCTTTCTTGGCCCGGGATAAAAGGTTAACTTCATTTAAAATAAATAGAATTTAGGAAGGATTTTTAAATATTTAGAATATCTGGAGCGAAATCACAAATAAAAAGAGATTAAAATCCCATAAATTTTTCCAAAAGAAATGGCTGCGCTCCGATACATATGGTTTACCGGAAATTTAAAATGCTTTAAACAAAAGATGGACGAGAGACTCGTTGATAATAAACCGGAAATACAGCATTCGGATGAAGATTTCTTAGCGATAATTTTATTCTGAATCCGTTTAATAAAGAAAAAATGATCAAATCGGGTTTTACGAAGATGTCATTTTTTTTTTTAAATCGTTCATTTAACCATTTTTGTTTGTTCACGTGTTATTATCGGGATACATACAGAAATAATCTTATTCTCATTTTTGTGGTATTTTAGTATACAATTGTTTTATCTCCACGTTGGGGAGGAAATTTTTGCATACCTCTCTCCCTAGTGTTGTTGAACGACTCTGAGCCGATTTTTAAAAACGGCTAACTCGATATTTCATCCAGAATAGTATTACGGAAGCCTGAAGATTTTGTTTGCAGAAGGAACAGAGTCTTAGACAATCTAAGCGAAATCTCGGGGCTTAGTCAATATTTTTCGCGCTAAAATATTGAGTTAGCCGTCTCTTTTTTTTTGTAAAAAAAATCGACACAAATGGCGCCGTTAAATAGCACTAGTACCTCTCCCTATTAAAAATAATGGTGGGAAATAATTGTTTTTTTAAGAGAAAAATGTTTCTCTCTGTATTAGTGTCGTTAATCGGCTTAGCCGAGTCGGCTCAGAACTGACCCGAATCCAACTCAAAGTAGTTTGGGTCGTTTTTTTTCCACCACGACTCCTCAGAGTAACTGTATAATGTTGGGGGAATAAAAATGGATATGGAACATTACGATCCTCAACCAACGACTATATAAAAATAAAATAGTAATTAAATTTCCTTTTTTTTAATTATTATTTATATAATAAAGTATCATCTTTTTTTTGGAAATGGTGAGAGAGTGCCACTTTTTTCTTTGTTGAAAAGTAACGCTAGTACGCCATTTTGGAAACATTTAAACAACACTGCTCTATACGTAGCGTTTTAATCCAAATACATACCCGCGTGACAACATTTACAAAGCAAAACTAAACGCACGATACAGCGATAAAAAAAATAATAAATTTAAAACTAACCTAAAGGTTCCCGATCTGTAGAGAAGAAAAAAATGCAAACTTGATATAGAAACGTTTTGGTATTTTCTTAATACATTTGTCGGTTGATTATTTGTCATAGGGGGTTCAAAACTCCTCAGGGGCCTGGGAGTTTAATGAAAGGATGATTTTAAGATCGGAGACTTATTCTGTACTTAACATCCGGATAACAGATCCCGTTGTGACAGGTCGAAAATTTTTTTTTTTAAATGACAAACCAAGAAGCACTTAGTTATGATAGATCAAAGTTATAAAATACTTTGAGAGAAGTTCTGTTTAAAAAAAAATTCATAAAGCAAAATGGAATGATGACTAAAAAAGACAAAAGAAACTAATATTGGTTATTAAATAAATTCTCTTTATTAAATTTCATTTCATTCTAAATTTATTTGTTTCTTTTTTCCTTTCTTTCTTTTCTTTCTTTAATTTTTTTTTGTCATATTATACCTTTGAATATTTCCTCAGCCATCTTATCATACGCGTCATAGCTATTTTTTCCGCTTTGGCTAGCCACTTCATATACGTAACCTTCATTCTTCGTAACGACGTTATTACTAACACCATGCGATTTAAAGACTTCGTCCCTCCGATCATAGCTACAAGATGGTAAATGATTTTCATTAGTATCTACTAAACTTTCACCGTCAGATGTAGTTCCACCATCTTTTCTAGAGATTTTGTCCTTTACACCATTAAGTGCATCGGTTTTCGGGGTTAGAGCCTTGATTATCTTAGCGATACTAGCACCGTTGCATTCCAGAGATAAGCTGATATTTCCGGTGAGTTGAATCTTATTCGAATCTTCCTTTTTCCGACTTTTTGGAATCTTATTCGAACCAGATTTAAGCTTCTTATCTCCAATTTTTCCATTAACGGGAGGCTTGTTTTTGTTGTTGCTGCTTTTAAAAGTTGGTAGCAATTTGCTATTATTATAATTTCCGTTCGTGACGACGTTCGTGGGATCCCGCTTAACGTCGGCACTGGTAAGTAGGATATTAGGGTTAGGCCTGGGAAGCGGAAATGAAACTATAACCTTCTTGGTAGTCATGTGATCCTGGCTAATAGCCTTGAGTCGTTTCATGATCTCCTGTTTTCCGAGTTGAGCATCTTTGCCGTTATCGATTGCATGATGATGGCGATTATGATGAGAATTCGAAGACTTGGTGAAAGAGGGTTGGTTTCTAAGCATTCGTTGTTTTAATTTTTATTTACAAAGACATTTCTTTTTTAATCGGTCTTTAATAAAAAAAAAAATAAGATAAAATAAGAGTAGGACAAACTGCCCCGGGCATAAAAAAAATATACACGGGGCTCAAAGAAACAGACCAAAAAATACAAACCTATTGGTCTAAAAAAATCTAGAAAGTCCGATTTGTACATTAGGTAATTTTTTTTTGTTTCGAGAAAATATTACTATTTCAATATTAATTTTTCCCCAAAAAATCAAAAAAAAAAGAAGGTTCTTAAATTAGTTTCAAAAAAATTATTTCTCTCTTTCCTCATTTCTTTCTTCCTTTCTCATTTTTTTCTTTCCTTTCTATCTCATTTTCTTCCCTACTTTTTTTTTATAATGTTCCCTTTTTTGTTTTTATTACATCACATAATCTTTACTCAATCAATATTTCGTTAATTTAATTATTATTATATCAGTTTAGCACGTCATTTAAAATAAACCTAATTTTAATACCTATATGTGAAATAGAGGAAATTATAATTTATACAAACATATTTTTTTTTTGTCAATAATAAACCTCGATGAAATGATAAATAAATATCTGATAAAAATCTGAAAAACATTTTCTTCCAATTTTTCGAAACGTAATCTTTCTTAATAATTCAGAGACAAACCTCTAACAGTCACATTTTTAGGGTCCGGCTCTCCCTTTCTTTTTTTTAATGGTAGAAATTTACGATCCGCTCCTAGGGGTCCTGCCTGCACGTGTCTGATAATCTACTATATTATACATCTAAAAATACTAAATTAAATGCCCGTTGTAAGGAACCAAACCGAGCTAAAACTGTTAAACCTATTATGATGGTTATTATTTATTTTACCGAACCTATAAGAGTTTAACCCAGTTTTTTTTAGAGTTTTTAAAGCATGAACTGAATCTTATATATTCGTTGCGATTAGGATCTTTGGTCCTAAAGTTAATTCATACATAATTATAATTCCTTTTTCCCATTCCCATTCATGGAAGCGTTTTTGAATCGCCTTTCTCCTTATCTTTTAATTATAAACCATTACTATATATATATTATATGAAATAAATAAAGTCTCTAATAACCTGGAAGTCTTCATGTCGTGGCAGGCGTCGATCCCAGAATCGCTTACGCCAGATTCAATACCACCGCGATCACCATTTTTATCATAAAAATGATTGGAAATACTTTTCCTTTTATTCGGAACTTCCGGCGAGGTTTTGGAATCAATCATCTTGTCACCACCGAATACGGCGTCCATTCTTTTGGTAATCTGAAGAAATGAGGGTTTTAATTTTTTGATCACTTCCTTCGAAATTTCGGAAGAGATGTCGTCGATATTCCTCCTATTAAGGTTAACGGAGGAACATGATTTGGCCGCGGTGTTAAAACTTGGAACAATTTTGGTCGCGTTACTATTTCCTGGCGTACTATCATTCCTCGTTCGTTCATTTCGCAATTGGTTCGCTACACGCTTATCCGCACCAATAATCGCCGCGGCATCGAGTCTCAGGTTTCTGCGGGTGTTTTGGTTCATATCGGTGATCGTGGTGGTACCGCTATCAGAAAATCCGAGCCGTCTTGCCCCTATTTCCTCTTCACTCCTCAGTTCGCCGTTTAAATTGTATCGGGATAAAATCTGAGAAATTTGGGTATAATGATCCGATTCCCGGCTATCCGAGAGTAGCGCTCTCACGCTCTCCATTCTATCGTAATCGGGAATAGTGTTGCCAATGCTACTACTACTGCTCGCGAAACCGTTTACATTCTCTTCGATATCCTGAAAAGCTGTTAATCTCGTCGAATGTCTATCATCGTAACTCTGAGCCCGTCTTTGACATGGCGTAAGTGGCGGAGTTGTGGGAGTGGTAAAAGAGGATAATCTGCCAAAATCTATAAACTTTTTTTTTGTGGGTGAGGGAAGAATGCGAATTTATACTTTTTCATTTCGACAATGGTTTTTTTTTCTATTTACTTCAAAGTGTTCGGCCATATTTAATACTTCTCCCGTTGATGGTGGCATTTTTATGATGATTTCGGCGTGAAATTTTTCTAAGGCCAAACCTTTAAAAGCCTCTTCTACATCGGTCATGTGACTCTTTATGATCGCGTGATTGGCTGCGACGTAATTGGCAAAATTCTGTCTATTCTCGTCCCCAAGATTTGCAAAATTATTGAGAACCTGTCCTTCTCGGGAATTCCTGAATTTTCTGATAACTTTATTCGGCCTGGTTCTCACGCAAATACTTGGATAACTTTTTTTTTTCAATAAAATTTAATTAGATTATTTCTTTCCTTATATTTCCCTACCTACGATCATGATTGGTCCATTATAGGTTAGCATAAAAACAGAAATTTATCCCTAAAACTTACAAAAAAAACAGATGATTAACCAAGAGGAATTTGTATGTTCCTAGGGGATAGTGTTCTTAAAAAGTCCGATTCGGGTCGAACGGCCCGGCCCTATTAAGATTGTAACCAAAACAACATTATGTAAGCCTGAAGAATTTGCTCATAGCTAGCAGAAATGCTTGGAACATTTATTAGCCAAATCTCGATGCTTAAATAATACTATTTTAGCTAAAATCTAATTTGACCCCAAAACAGGCGTTTTAACAACACCACTAGAGGGATATGATAGCAAAAAGGTGGAAAGGATAAAGTTAGGAGTGGCTGGATCATTCAGGGTTAAGCCTAGATTAGGAGGTGTGATAAACTGTTGTGTACTTATTACGTATGTTATTATCATAAAATTTACGTAAAAAAATTGGGCCATAAGGCGCGGAAATATATTTCGACGTAAAATACGGAGCCTTCGTCATTCGGTAATTCGTAACCCCACTTGTAAAAAAAAAATTTTTTTTGATAAATAATTTATTTATAAAATTAACGGGATTGGATTCAATTCTTCTCGGGATCTATTTTTTCCAGATCCTCTCTTAAGGAAGAGGAATGGTTTTGCCAGTCGACTCGAAGTTCGGTTCTCACCCTAAAATAGAAAGAATCATGGGGGAAGGAGCTTAGACTTTATTAGGATTACTATGGGATCAAAAGCTTTATCAGTTTACAGTTACATTAATGAAATAATTAAGACATAAAAATTTGCAGAATATGATCATATCCCTTTCATTTTTAAATTATTATTCCAAACTAAAGTTTATTTTAAAAAATATCTTCATTTACTTTTCCTTCATGTATATAGCAGCATAAGAAATGAGTGAATTATAATTTACTCAACATTATACAAACCTTAAATAATTATTAAGAAAATAGGGGATGTAAGAATAAATAAGTTAAATAAATTGTAATTTTTACCATATCACGCCAATAAGGTTTAAAATCCTGATAATTCCTCAATGGGTATTTACCATGAACACTCTTACCAGGTATAAACATGTTATTTCCGCTATTTATCGGAGGTCTATGACGTATACCTATGGCTCGTCCTTGTTTCATGCTTGAAAGATATAAATATATATACTGTATATATATAAAACATCTGCCAAAACAATTACTGCGCGTGCGCTATATAAATAATTTCTTTTCTTTTTCTAATTCCTCGTCATCTTATATTTGATCTTTATTCATTGATTTATTTTAACCTTGGCAATATAAAACACCACGAATTTCCGATGCTCTCTTCTCTGATGGCGTAATCAAAATCTATGGCAAAATTTTTGAGAGCTTCCGGTTCTATGTTAAAATCTCCGAGCTAAAATTAGTAAATTTAAGTTTAAGGTAAAAAAAAATGTATATTAGTGTGTTCCCATTTAAAAACCCTTCTTATAAGCAAATCTTTTATCTCCTTACATCAGACTAAAATAAACAAAAACAACTAAATGTTTTTTATTGGGCAATTTTAAAGATATTGAAACTGACTCTTTAAAAATAAATACAATGATTCCCAAAATGTAACGAATCCTCGCATATATATCTGGGCTGGGGCATCCATCTGACTTTGCAGTTGCAAGATTATAACATCTGCAACGGCGATAAGTAAGTTCCGAAAGGAAGATAGCTTTGTAGTGGGGTATGGTTTCCAGGGCAATTGAATACTATGCTATCTGGAACTTTATTTCTGAAACACATTTCTTCTTCCAATTGGAAACCTGGGATTTCAGAAGACGGTGGTCTTTACAGTGAAATAAATATGGAGCAAAAGTGTAATCTGTGTCTACATGACAGGATATTTACTGGATGTAAACCCCTTCAAAATCCTATACTTATCTCCAAATATTAGACAGAAACCTTTATTGGCAATTCGTCACGTAAATTGAGATTTCTCAGGATTCGCTGTATAGAGATAGATACATCACAATTTGGGATTA